CACTCAGGGTGATGTTCTCCAGTTCCATCCATTTGCTTGCGAATGGTAAGATTTCATTCTTTTTCATGGCTGCATAAAATTCCATTGTGTATAAATACCACATTTTCTTAATCCACTCATCAGTAGTGGAGCATCTTGGCTGTTTCCATAACTTGGCTATTTCCACAGCTCCTTTTCACTGTCTCTTTCCTTGACAACATCCAACTCTTATTTGTCACTAATTGCCAGGAGATAGCTTTCTTGTTTTCAGTAATACCATGGGGCATGATTTGCCCCACAGAACTTATCCATTCAAATAGAGATTCTTTTGGAGAGATAGTTCCCTAAGGAAGTGTTTGAGATTTCTCTTATTAGCTGATTCTTTACCCAGTGTTCAATGAGGCAACCTAGAGTTTGTGCATACCTCCAATTAATCTACCAAATATAATAACATCCTTCACTGTTGTTTTCACATTTAGGCTTGAACTTCATCTTTTTTTGTAGGTTAAGTCAATAAGAGATTCAGAACTCTGTTTTATAGCCAGCCTCTCTTGTCTACTCCTAGGAAAAATCTCTTCGCCATAACTCTACAACAACATTGTAAGTGATAGCCTGTGTGTCATTCCATTTGTGTCTTTACCATAATGAAATTACTAAGTTAGGCCAACTTTATAAAGCAAAGAGGATTATCTTGACTGATGATTGTGGACTTACAAAGTTGAACGGCCCCTTCTTGCTGGCAGAGCCCTGACACAGGGCAGAGCCTCATATCAAAACCTAAAAATGGGGTTTGCATTTCAACACACGAAGCATTTGGGACATTGGAACCATATCCAAGCCATATCACCCTGAATTAGGAGCTTGTTTGTCAGAAATAGGTTGAGTTGGTAGACTTGGTCTTCTTGGCTCACCTCCTATAGCATAAAACATCCTCCTTATTACCCATGAAAACCCATTCTCAATGACAACTTGACCAAGGTAGGTCCTTTTAGTGGGAACTTGTTGGAAGATGTAGCCACTACCTCTCTGCTGTATTTTCCTAGTACTAAGCCTCAGGAACTTGTATTTACATTAATGAGACATAATAACACCCTGTCTTCTTGGACAGATAACCCTGCAGTTACAGCTTGAAGGAGAAGATGCCCTTTGTTCTTGTTTGTACTACTCTGAAGTAGATTTCCCTTCTTGCTGAACTGTGAGGGTGGTAGCAGTGAACAGATTTTGGTTCATATATCATAGACTCTATTACTGAGTTCTAGTACATTTATTAAATAAAATTTGCTTTATTTTTTAGGCCTTTAAGACTTTTATGAGAATTAAATTTTTTGTAGTTATTATAGCTGTTTTTCTAGGTAGTGTGTCTGTGAAGTTTCTCAAATTGTCATGCCAAATATTTAACAAACAAAAACAAACACTAAAACAAAAGTGAAATTAACAAAAACACACAAAACTGAAGTTTGTATTAAAAAGTCTTTTGCAAGAGATATATACCTTCCACTAAATCTTGAGGGATAACAATGAATTCAGTAATCAGTAAAGGGAAGAATTGAGTTATTTTTAGTTAGGTTAACTGCCCACTGTCTTTTATAAGACAACAAAGACTACAGAAATTATAATTACCAGGGCATACTTTATTAGCCAATCACTTTTTAGTGCACTGAGTGCAATGTAGGTTTGCTTTGAATTTTTCAGGAAAAATCACTACAGAAAACTAAATGGAAAGGAAACAGCTCTGCTGAGCATGTGTGAGATGCTAAATTTTATTCATAAACTACAGAAAAGGAAGTGTCTTGAAATATAATATTTGAAATGCAACTAAAAAAGAAGGCATTATTTCATGAATTTAGTAAATGTGGGTGATTGTTAAGTGTAAAAAGTAAGTTGGATTTGGTTTAAATATGATACATATAGTGTATGCCATGAGATCTGTACAGTTGTTAAAGTTATATTGTAAATTTATTTTTGAGTTTTCCACAGTCCAAAATAAGAAAAAGAATTCTAAAATGTCCATTGTCTATTTAAATTTAAAGTAATTATTTGCTTGTAGAAGTGTTGTGAAAATGAATTATGATTGATTGAAAGAACGTTCTCTGTCATTCCTGGTCTTACAACAGTGTTAATTAATAGTTCTCTGATCTTTCCTGGGTTCTTACAAAAAAGGTTAACAATATTTTACTCTGGGCCCCTGGAAAAGGTAAATACCCTCTCATTGCAACTACCATATATGGGAAAGGACATATTACTTTAATGTTGAAAGTTACCCAAAAGTAGCCACAGAACTTCTCTTTTGTACTTGAATTTTACCTCTGCTGATCATCCAGGTCTAAGAAATAGTTACAGTGAATTGCAATTATGAGAGACACAAGAGAGATTGAAGAAAAATGGGGCCATGAACTTCATATAATTATCATTTTACTAAAATAGTGAACAGAAAGTCTGTACATGCTTGTTGCCATGTACAGTGTGTGTGTGTTTGTGTATGTGTGTGTATAAAATAACAGAGAGGGAAGGCCATATTAACAGACTTGGCATAGTCAACCATTGCTGTTGAACCTGATAACCTGATTCAATAGACTAAAAATGTCTTTATTTGAAAAAGAACAAGTTGTTGTTTAAAGGGTAGGATACCTTTTCCTTGGACTTTCATTTTCTTATGACCATACTGCTATTATTCACTTTCTATTCATACATATATTTTATTTAGTCTTTCCTGGTCACTGGCTATTTATTAATTAGAGGTTAGATTGAATAAAATATATCTAAGAGAAGGTTCCCATAGTTATTTATGAAAGAGTAAGTATCATAGAAATGAAGAAGCCACAATTCTTGCAATTGAAACAGAATTATAAAAGAAATTAAAAGTTAAAGGGACTTCACTAGGGTGAAATAATAATATAAGTGAAATTATGAAAGTTAATTTCTGCAGTTTCTTGGGGAGGGTTGCATATTATGAATGTGATTTTGAGAATATTAATGGTTGTAGAATTCACTAGAATTCTCATATTTGAATTCAAACTTCAAATATTGGTCAACTTTGAGATAAATATTCATAAATATTTCAGTTCTTGGCAGTGATTACTTACCTGACTTTATTATGTGTTATGAAAATGGATCATGGTTGAGAGGAAAAAACTGAAAAACATTAGAATAACACATGATTATGCAAAATATTTTTCCCTGCATAAACAGTTGATATTCATGGTACTATTGATGTTGACAGTTACCAAAGATAGTAGCTAGAATACCCTCAGATGAATGTCTAGTACTGTGTGAGGACTTTCATTTTTCTTGTGTAGTATTTACAATAATTGCATAAATAATGTCTTAAGTTCTTGAGATTCAGTTTCCATAGGAATAAAATGTCATTAAATAACTTGCTCATGAGCATGTAGGTAATAGGAAGCAAAGATAAGGCTCTAAACTTTATTGCAAACACTACTCCTTTTTACATTCTTGGAGCTGCTATTAAGCTTATGTTCAGGGCATATAAGAGATATAAACTTTTTAGGACATAATTATTCTGCATTTAAATGTAACTTTGAAGAGTTTTATTGAGTTGATAAAATATAAAATGTCAGTTCATTGTCTTAGATGTGTTACACTTTTTTAGTCATTTCATTCTATTGACACTAGAGAGTACATATTTTCTTAATGAATAATATATCAGTTCATTTGCCATAAAAGAATAAATGCAAAATGGTGTAACATGTAAGTCATTGATGCCATCACATCATTTGATTTTGGGGAAATTATGTTCCACTAGTAAAGTGATAGGCATTCCGTGGAATAGTATTCAAGTCATCCACGGTCAACCAAATTAGAATGTTTCAGAGTACCCATGGTGAGTAACTCAATTCAAAACTTGAGGTACAGCCAGGGGGGGTTAACCAACTTTAAATTTGTAACATGGCTATGACTAATTGGTGTGTGCTTTAGAAGTTACTTTCATATTTAACAAAAAATATGTGTTTGAAAACTTTGAAGATCTGAACTTAATCAATTGTCGAAAAGAGAAGTTTGATATACCAAACGCAAGTTTGTTTATTCAGATTCAAAAGTCAAACATTTAGTTTGCACATAAATATTCATTGCCACAGAAGCAAAATAAATAATTGGCCATCTCCAATGCATTCTGTATAATTTACAACAGATCAAAAGTTTATTAAATGGTAAAGTCAAAGTGAAACTGTATTACATTTATTGCAAGTGAAAATCATACCATGGCCCAAGCCAGCAATCAGCAATGCATCAATAGAACAACTAGATCTCTGTCTCTGTCTCTGTCACTGTGTGTGTGTGTGTGTGTGTGTGTGTCTGTGTATGAAATTTTTTTAACTTAAAGATTTAAGAATTAAGGATTATATATTGAGTTCTCTGCTATGGGAATTGACCTGGAAAAATCAGATTATCTACTTACATGAAAATTTTTATGAAAATGACAATATTAAAATGACTTGGACTAACCTTACCTAAGAATATTTCAAAGTTAATTTCAATAAACATAAAATTTATAAAATATATGAATCTTCATCTATAATTTTATTCCTTTTATGGTTGTTCCAGACCCCTTCTCAAAAAGTGATTTGGTTCTGGCCTTATGCTGAGTTTTAAATCTTCATTTTATGAAGTATTCATCCAAAAAAGTAACAGTTCAAAATGGGTCATGTCCTAACCAAGATAAACAGTGATCTAAATAATTGTTGCATACAATATTTTTCTCTGAAACAATAGATTTTATCAATAAAATAAGGCTTGCTTCATCAAAGAAAGCTCAATTTGTTCAGATACAGATGTTTCAAGCTAAATTCCAGAAAATGGTGTTTGAATAATAGCTTTTTTTTTTTTTTCTTTTTCAGTATTCAGGCACTTTCTATTTTTCCTTATTGAGTGGTCAGACTCCATAGCTGCCATTTGAAAACATCCTAGTTTAGGAATGTGGAAATGGATGAAATAAGGAAAAGTTGAGTTGCACGTTGAAATGAAATACCCTCAATGCTGATGTTATGTTTTCCTTCCCACAGGGAACCACAGTCAGATATCACGAGTGCCCGTTGCTATTAAAGTGCTGGATGTCAATGACAACGCCCCTGAATTCGCATCCGAATATGAGGCATTTTTATGTGAAAATGGAAAACCCGGCCAAGTAAATATCTCCATGTTGTTAATGCTGAATATGTTTGTATACAACTGTCTCATATTTAATTAGCTTGCTTGATAGTGTGCATTTGCATCATTTATGATCTTCAGAGTCACAGGCAAGAAACATCCCAATGGGAACAGAAAGGGGTTCTTTGTCTTCCTCAGATGTTAATTCTCTTCCTACCTAAGACCAAATGAACTCCTAAAAGTAGGGCAACCTGTTCCACCATGAACCCAGAGCCAAATCACTTTCTTAAAATATATTGGGATATCAATGATAACTGAGGAACTTCTTAGAGTGCTGGGACATGAATTTTAACCTTCAATTATAGGAAGCAAGTGCAACACTCATGGGGAGGTGATTTTTGTTTTATATCAGACATATGGACAATACATATAGCAGAAACCAAGAACACCAGTGACTTATCAGAGATTTCAGGAAGTAGATACTGAAACCTAGACAAATGTAGATATATTTATGTAAATATAAGATGAACAACATGTTTTAGATATGCATTTAAAGCACTTAAAATTTTTGTTGTGACGGGACAGTTTTTTTTATTTTTTTAACTTGCCACATATACCATAGATAAGAACAATGAAGACAGGAAAAAGAAAAAGAAAGCAAAACAGAAAGACAAAAAGATTAAAAGAAAACAGGAAAGAAGGAACAAATGAAGGGAAGGAGAAGGGAAGAAAGAAAAGGAGGAAAAGAGGGAAGGAGGGAAAAGGAGGGGGAAGAAGGAAAGGGAAGGAGGAAGAGTTAAACAAGAATAAAAACCAAAACAAGAATCTGTTCTACTCTGAATGTCAAAATGGAAATAGCCTATGTAAAGTTCTACAAAACCATAAATGTAATAGATTTATTTTAACAAGGTGCCAAAGTACTGTATGTTTAAGAAATTTATTATTTTTCAACTTCCTAATTTATTTCTGGATGGTGACATTTTAATTTAAATAAACAGCAGCTGACAGCATGACACTGGAGTTGTTAATCCAACTATTCTTGTGCTTCATGTGGGTGTTAGGAATTAAACTTACTATTTGCCAAGGAGCTTACCTGACAAGAGTCAGATTTTTTCCCCTAAAGAAAGGAATAGCACAGTAGAACTATGCTTATTTAATTATTACAAAAGGTGAGTATGTTACCTGCCCATAAAACAGTGGGCAATTTCCCCTAGACTACTCTCACATATCTAAACAATTGTTTTGTCTGTAGAAATATGACATCCCCTACACACAATAAAGGTAAAATTTTAAATAATGAAATTGCTTAATCTTTTAAGCATTTAGACATGTTGTTCTCATCAAAACATTCAGCTTTAGCAGTCATACACTTTTATTTTAATAATATTCTAACATTAGCATAAATGTTTCTTAACTTCAGCATGTGGAATTTCTGTCAATGATTCATATCTTTTGAACATCTTCATTTTTGATTCTTTGGGGATGGAGTGTGTGTGTATGTGCGTAGTATATATGTGTGTGTGTATATACACATATATCTGTAAATATCATTTAGCAAAGTTAGTGTGTTGAGTTGGCAGAGAGAATTTGATCAAAATATGGCAGATCAAATTCAAGTATATGGTTGTTGTGTGGACCAGAAAATTGCTAGGATATTGTAGCTAATAACAGACATAAGTTAAGCTATTTATCTGTCACATAGAATCTATGAAATACATTAGGATTTAAATTACACTTCATTGCTCATGCAGAACTCATCACACAAGTTCAGAGTGTCATTGACTCTCACATTCCAAAAACTCAATATTGGCTTCATATGTGATATTCCCAAGCACGTTTCTTGAGTCTCTAGTAATCTGAAAGTTTACTCCGTGTATTTTAACTACTATCAAAGTTTTAATGATTTCCCAGCAGTTATTCTTATCTTTAGGAAAAAAATACATTGTTTCTTCACTTTTTTTATTCAAGATCATAATAAAAGACTTGATTCTTTGTTTTATGGTTTTGCCAATGAAAATAAATGACTCATTAGTGAAGAAATGCTCATGGTTTGAGTGTGTCCACTGCACCATATTATCCTTTAATTTATACATGTTTAGTAGAGTTTATCAGTTATATGAAATGATCAATTTTGGACTGTTGAGCTTTGCTTTTGGACATATGGCTCACTGCTTGAGGCATATACCTTTGTTTAGAGAATTTTCTTAAATTATTTGAACCCTTGGTGTCTGCCAGAATTCCTATTTCATGCCTTATGTCATTCCTAGGTCATTTTTAATGCTCTAATTTTTATATTTAATGTTTTCCCAAATACATATCTGTCACCCATATAACATAGTGTTTACTTGCAAACGATTGACATATATATGTTTTAATCACCTCTTGTAATAACACACAAATGGCTGACTCATTTTGGAATTAAAATATTCTTTCTCATATGATCACACTGTCATGAAAAATAAATATTAAAAACTGAATTAGCTTTAAATTCATAATTATCTCAATATTTTCAGCAATTAATGTTGGCATTACAACAGCCTCAGAAAAGTAATGCAAGTGAAATTCAAGTGTGTTGTTTGCCTGGAAGCTTGGGTTTCAGGCTAAACTCAAAAGGAATCACCTTCCTGGGAGATGCTGCAGCTCTTTAGCAATAATCAAGAGCAAGCCACTAAAAACACCCCATCTGTATAAAATCACTGGACTCTGAGGGACTATGTAAAGAGGTTTTAAAACATCTTACAAAATGAAAACCAGCATCAGTACAAACATAGAGGATCTATTGCAACTTACTCTTTCTCACATAATTTGACTCATCTAAACTCAGAGTTTAAAAGATGAAACAAAGGAGGCCCCTTTTCTTATCTGCATAATAACCTGTGTTAGAAGAGGTACAGGTACACATTGAAACACAATTTGAAAGCATAAATGGAAATTATACCTGCTTCTACCACCTTATGGTCTTAAGTAAAAGGTGACTTTTCAAAGAGTATCAATGACTGCCACAGGAAAATTGAGGTCACAGACTATTACATAAAATCAACCTGAATCCCTTTTGACGAGAATCCTTTTAAATAATTCTTCAGTTACATAATTAAAGAATAGTATTTTCTGATTGCTAGTTCCTTTATTTTAAAACAAAATCTAATAGTTACAGGTTGAGTTGTATTAAGTCAAAAGACATCAGATGGTGTGCGCGTGTAGGCTCCAATGAAGGTACGATATGGTCTTCTACAGATTACTTGACTCTCAGTTTAATAGAATAGATAAAAAAGACACATTTCACCCATACCTCTCTCATATGCTAGGCAATAATGAGGGTTATACACTTCAGGTTAAAAATATTAGAAAGAAAAATGTATGTCTGTCAGTTCACATTTCTGTTAGGGTAGTAGGAGTTTGTCATAGAGTATTGACTATATACCAAGTACATGTTAGGGCTTTGCTAGATACTGAGAACTTAGTGGCATACAACACCTAAAAATCAGCATTATTTCAACACAGAATATTCTCTCTGGAAAATATGTCTTTAAATTAGAAATGAAAAATTTACAGTAAAATCCTCTGAATAGAAAAAGGAGGCTGAAGGCATGTTGGGAGATGGAGCTATCTCATGAAAAGAGTACTTTAATGTAGGACAAATCCCAACAGGGACAGAAAACATCTACTGAGTACTAGAAAAGAGTCAACGGGGCATAAAGCAGGTTGTGTGTGAAGAGAAAGGTAATCTGGTCTGACAGGTGAAGGAACAGGTAACAAACATGTTCTTTCAGTATGTTTAACCATACCACATCCAAAACCGAACATGAAAGAGCAATACAGACCTTTGGTGACCAGTGTTGGCTAAAGATCCTTTCCATAACCTCTTTGTGCATTCTATCTCTTTAAAAGGATTTTATCTCAGATGCTAATATCTTATGTAGCATACACACATTAAGAATATCTTGCTTCAAATGGTTCATCATCACAGGAACTGAGCTGAGTTCTGTCTCTCTAGGTGTGAGTCAAAGCCAATCGTTAAGTCTCAGAAACTGCTCATTGTCTGAAAGTTAGCTAGGTAAAAAACTGCTAGAACTTTTCGTTCTTTTAAGAAAAAGCTTCCTCAAAACTATGAAAAAATCTAGTACACTATAATTTAAGCTTCAACACCATCTATATGATATCTGCTGTTTAATGTTGAGTAATTATGTCTGTGTTTAAAAAAAAGTAAAAGAAAAACAAATCAAAACCTTTTCATTTTCTTCCATGAATCTCATCTTTCTATTTCTGAAGCAATAAGAAGTTTATTTACTATGAGAATATCATGTTCACAAAGATATACAGTAACCCATATTTCTGGATGATATATATCTAGTCCATACTTGGCTCATAAAGGATATTAACAAAATATTTGATGTATGTTTCTAATTCACTTCATAAAGCATTGACAAATATTTTGTAGGTCAATTTATCAGATATTACTGTTAGAAACACTTGTTTTATTCCCAGACCCACAGCATACATGCTAACCTCTGGATGAAAAATTGTTCATTTATTTATTGAACAATATTTATTATGTATCTACAAGATGCCAATTATTATAATATGATCTGGGGAAGCTATGAAAGGATAAAAAATATTCTTATGAAGCTTAATGAGGAGTAGATTATAAAGAATTTAGCATGAAAAATAATATAATTTAAATTTTAAAAACTGGGTATAAATATACATTAAAATAACTAACCTGAGGAGAACAAAAAAAGCTTAGGAATTAATAGTGTTGCCAGAGAAAATTACATTTCAAGTGGATGTCATTTAAGCTGAAACTGGAAAAATGAAAAAGGACTAGGCATGAAAGTGCTTCTAACCAGGAGCATGAACATGTATGCACACCTGAAGGGAGAAAGACCTCCACTTGAAGAATTGAAGACATCTCTGTCTAGACTGTAATAAGCAAGAATGAGATTGGACAGAAAGTTTCCCGTTTGAATAAAATCTGTACACACCACATACACATAAATAAATGCTAAAGCAGGAAGAGCAGTTAGGAAGCTTTCTAAC